TGGAATTCACTCCTTCCCGACTTCAGGGAAATAGATGAGTGTTCCCTTACATGCTGACTCCGGAATTTGAACAAGGGGCCCCACCCTCTCACTAGCCCAAGAGGGACTTCCGGTTATTGGTCGGACAATGACCGCGTTGTTCATTAGAGGAACAGTGGTATTTCAGGAGCAAGATGTAACTTAGGGGTAAAACGATAATTTGACCTAGTTAGAGTTATGAGCACTTGTGAAGGATCGACTACCGTCAATGGTCAATTTCCGTGGACACGAAATATTCTGTAGTGACAATAGTGTAGATGCAGATCTTTAGTGGAATGATCTGCAGTTAAGGAATGTTAGTTAATTTGGTTAATGACTTTAATCAATTAACCTCGTATTGTTGGAGCTTCTGATCTGTAGGTCTATTAGGTCTCCTTGTTAGCTCACAACGGGTAAAACGAGAATCAAGATTTTGAAAGAATTTGAAATGTTCAAATTATATATCAAGGAATGCATATAATGTATATTATGATACATTATATATATAGTTTATATTTTAATAAAGATTTAATAATTATAAGTACGAGAGAAATATTTGGATAGGATTCAAATAATTAATATGAATTGGATTCATATTAAAACTATTGGTTATACCAGAGATGCATTTGAATATGATTCAAATATATAGTTTTAATTAAATATGTAATATTTAAATAATTAATCGTTATTTATTTATTTATTTAATTAATATTTTGATTTAAGTTAATTAATTATTAATTAAATTTATTATTTATTATTTATTATTTATTAATTAGATTAATAATTAATAAGTAAATTAATTAATTGTTAATTAATTTGTTTATTATAAATTAAATTAAAAGAAGAAAATATCTTGATGGTCTTAGGATTTCACYTAGATTCAGGAGAAGATATCATATATCAAAATTTTCTGTCCCTATAAATATACTGAATCTTAAGGGTAGGCTAAAAAAAATTCTCTCAACTCTCTTATTCTCTCAATCTCTTACAATTGGATCCCACAATCCAAATTTTCGATCAAGACACTTGAAGATCAAGTGGTGTTGTTTCATTGGGATTACATGAAGAATAGTCTTCAAATGTAAAATCCAGCATTGTCCATGTTTTATATTTTTCTGTGTTTTAAATTTCAAAAGAAATTCAAGAACGCGTTCTACTGCTTCCGCTCCGGGATTCACATCCCCTTCAGGTTAGTGTTAGAATGACTAATGTCGCTCAATTTTGGGAGATAATGGGTCATATAACTGAAGTATTTATTTACTGGAGAATCATCAGAAATGGTGAATATTTTTTGTTATGACATGATGTGTTTGGTCCTTATTACAAGTCAAATTAACCTCTTGTGCTTTAGGAAAAAAATGATGTTCTACTCCTCGACCATGTCAAAAAAATTGAAAAGGGGAAGCATTGGGTGGATGGTTTTCATATGGGAGAGACAAAAGCAATACTACCCCTATGGAGCTTGTCATTGCGATGAAATAAACAAAGAGACTTCGGAGAGTGGGAGTAGGCATTGCCGAACTACTATAAAGTTCTCGATGTCCTCTCCTTCCTCTCTTTTTTTAATTTCCTAACATTTTAGTTGAAGTTGTAATATCATTAACTTGTTGAGCTATACTCAGGTAGGTGCCAACCATTTTTAAATTTAAGAGTTTTTGTACATGTAAAATAGTTTCCTAGGTACACTATATATATATATTTTTTTGGTACCACAAATATGAGCTAGGGGATTTGAACCTCCAAAATTTGGACGGAATAGATGTGATTTAATACTTTTAAGTGTACCCATCATCTAACATTTGATTGAACTATGCTCATATGTTGGCAGAAGATACACTTTGCTGGCAGTGTAGGGTGTTTGAGCCGTATTGAACACAACATTTATTAGATTTATTATAGTTGTCTCATTTTATTTTATTTTATTTTTTTATTACTTAGGAGTCGGCGACCCTTTGACCTTTTTGCCCTTATACTGGAATATGCATATTGTCCTCATACCTGTACATCTGCAAGGGGTCATTGTTTGGTGGAGTTGCGTTTCTTCTGATTTGAACTCAAGACCTCAGGATCTTCCTTGAAGTCCGAAGATCCCTTGAGAACATAATTGTCGCATTTTATACGTTATGAAAAACATTACTTAACAAAAACCTGCCAACATGAGCATTAGTTCAATCATTATGATATTATAATTCTATCAAATTTACACAAAATACAAAATATGCCTCACCAAATTTATCAATATAGCTTATTCGGTGCTCAAAATTGCTCTCGGCAGAAATTTTGAGCCTCGCTCTAATATTAGTGGGTGAAAATTTAAAAGATCTTAAGAGTCATAACTTTTTCCTCACACGAGTCATAAAAAAAAATACAAAACAAAAATAAAGAAAGTAAAAGATAAGAAATAGAGATTTAAATAGGGTTTTTAAAATGGAAAAGTCTTACTCATCCCACTGTAGTTTATTTGGTAAATTTATTTTTCTTCACTTATCTAACTAGATATKGTTTCTCGGTTAGGTCTTACACGAACTTGAAGATGACAAGAACCATTGATTCCAACTAATTAATTATCGAGCTTCTTGTTGGGTCAGTGTGTAAAACATTCATTCTATCATTGTAGTCATAGTGTAGTATTTGTATAAAATTTGTAATTTACAAATTTGATCATACTTAGTTTGTATATGAATRCTTTGATCTTATTATATACAACTTTATTACATTTTAGAATATACATGCATAGATAATTTCTTCGAAATGTGTACAATATTATTAAATCTATTTTTCGACAGTCATAAATTGTCATATATAAACTTTTCTTGATGTTGCAAACCTTTATTAAACACAAATTGTGACAAAAAATTGTCATTAATTAACCAATTGTCATATATAAGATTTTCATGATGGTTAAAATAATTACTACTAGAAAATTGAGTTTTTGTGACGCTTATGAATAATAAAATACTGTTGAAAATTATTAGAAAATGTCATGAAAGGTAAAAAACGCGTTTTTGGCGGGAAAAAAAACGGAGATTTTCAGTTTTTGGCTTTTCGTGACGTTTTTTAATCGTCACGAAAAGTTTGGCAAAAAGTTCGTATTTCGTGACGTTTAAAAAACGTCACAAAAGGGTGAGGCGCGTTTTTGGCGGGAAAAGACGGAGTGTTCCGAATTTTTGACTTTTTGTGACGTTTTTTCTAATCGTCACAAAAAGTTGAAAGAAAACATGTTTTTCCGTGATGTTTTATAAATGTCATAAAATGAAGAGGTGCTTTTTTGCGGGAAAAGACGGAGTTCTACAGATTTCTGGCTTCGTCACGATGTTTGAAAAACTGTTAATTTTTTACCATGGTGCCTCACATATTACCTCACTAAAGGAGGTTAATCTTTGTTCTAACCGATTAACCACCCCTTCCAAATGTTCTGTAACTGGTTTTTGGGAGTTACCTACTATTTTTAGCAGCAAGCTCTCTAAAGAATTGGTGATTGTAATTTTTCATTTTGGTCTTGAAAATAAAATACTCTCTCTGATCTTGTACAGTGGATGTAGAACTCTCTTGGTCGAACCACTTAAAATTTGTGTGTTCTTTCTCTAATTCTCTGATATATGATTTGTATTAAATTTCTGAGATTCTGTTTTCTTCCCAAATTTGGTTCAACAAAAACGTCATGAAAAGTTATTTTTCGTGATGTTTAAGAATCGTCACGAAAAGGTGAGGCTCATTTTTTGCAGGAAAACCATATTGTTTTAGTTTTTTTGTGACATTGAAAAAAAATCACAAAAAGTTGGAAATATAAAACTTATTGTGACGTTTGAGAAACATCTTGAAAATGTGAGGCTCATTTTTTGCAGGAAAACTGGATGTTTTTGCTTTTCGTGAGTTGGAAAATTATATTTTTAGTGATGTTTAAAAAACGTCACGAAAGGGTCATAAAATTTCGAGATTTTATTAAACTTAAAAAACATCACAAAAGGTTTTACACTGTATGTTTTCTATTTCGATCTTTATATTTGTGGATGAAGTGAGATTGTTTTATGTTTTGTGGTTATTATGAATTTTTGTTAGTTTGTTTAGCTTCAAATGAGTCTCATGTATTTACCCAACTTGTACTGTCATATGTTTTCAAGTTAAATAACTGTTTCATGAAGAATTTGACCAAGTCTGTGAAGGTCACATGAATTGACTCTATGGACAAGTTGAGACGAATGTAAGTGAAGAATATAGTTTTACGTACCTAAAAATGAGGCAGGAGGTTTCGATTTATAGGTTGGCTTCCGATAGAACCTTCGACAGTTTTCACGACCACGAATGAATGAGAGACGACATCCTTACTCTCACCCCACACCATTATCATCTATACTCTATATAGAATTCTCTCCCTCTAATATATATTTTCAAATTTCTAACTTTTTAAAAACAAAAAATTAAAAGTAATTACCAAAATAGATATTTATAGATGCAAATTTTTTATACTTCATGACGATTTTTTAACATCACGGAAGGTCATAAAATTTCGAGATTTCATGAAACTTAAAAAAATCAATATGTATCTCGACCATCTCCAGTAGTTCACCTCGAACTCCACGAAGATCCAAGCTATCATCACTTACATGTGTGAGTTAGGTGTGAGTCATTATGTTGACTCATCACTGTTAAGCTATCAAGATACATTGAGTTGAGTTATTTAGTTTTAATTTTGTTCTTGTTCGTTTATGTAAATTAAATTTCTAGATTTTGAGAAAATATTTAAATAATAAAATTTGATAGGAATAATAACTACAGACAATTGAAAATCTTTATTTTTTACTCTTTAATTTTATCTATATATTTCGATATACCAAAATGGTTGATAATTTTTTTTCCTTCAATCCAAAAATATTTAATTAAGACTTAGGAATTGAAAATATTGAGGGAAAAAATTAGTAATTTTGTTTGAATTTATAAATTAGAAAAAAAAGGAAAGAAATAGGAAATCAAAACCCTATCTTTCTTTCCTTCTCCCTTGTGTTTTCATCCCAACACGATTTCTCTCCCCATTCGACTACCTTCTCCCTCATTTCTCTCCCCTTTCGCTAGTCATCACCATCTCGCTCACTATCGTTACTCAACCTGCGCCTCACATCGACAATGGCAACAACCTACTCTTGTGAGATGTGCGGCCGCACGGCTTCTCACTCACTCAGTTGGATCTCTCTTATTCTTCTCTCAGTTTGATGGATCATGTTGCTTTTTTATTTTTAGTTGCAATTTTTGGGGATTTTTATGTTTTCCCTTTCTGATAGACCTAAGATCTTTGATGGGTTTGTGGAATTTTTTGAATCTCGCTTAGTTGTTCAATTTTCTGAGTTTCTAAGCTGGTTCTTGCTTTAGCAAACATGATGTAAGATAGGGATAGTGGGTGAAAAAATAACTTCTCACAATTTTTGTTCAAAACCCATTTTCGGAATTTTGGGATTTTTTTGAGTTTTGTGAGGTCATTATCGGTGATGTATTCCAAAATTACATTTTTGTGGATATGGATGCCTTGTCGGATTAGAAAACTTAGGGGATTTAGATTTTAAATGAGAATGATGGAGCCCCAAGGATTTTAAATCATAATCCAATCATTTACAGGTGATCAAATAAAAAAGTGCCCTCAAGGTGTTCGACGTAAAGCCTGTGAGACAATCGAAGGGACAACTATATCCTTGTGCTTGTTGGAGAAGTTGTCTTGTTTGGTGAGATTAGTCTAAAGCATGTCCAGTCACCAGTTCTAGCTCCTAGATATTTGGTTGTCCTACAATGTCATTTAGTTGATGACAAACTCTTTAAGACAAATTGATTTTTATTATGGTTTACAGATTGATAATTATGATGGTTTATATATTCTAAATTCAATGACTATTGTAAATGTTATAAAAAGCCTTATAACAATAGGGAAGTTGGCACCTCTAGTTAGTTTGTAATTTGTATTCTATACTTTCAATTGAGTATGTTTGCTGCATATGTTTCACTGATATTTTCTTTTTGGTTTTGGTCCAGTCATAACTCATTGGCTATTTTTCCTTACATCTTTGTTCTCCATATCTCCTTATACTCCCCTAAGATTATTAATTGCAGTTTGGATCTTTATGCTAAATTAATACATAACATTCATTGGTGATCTTTCTTTCATAACAAGTTTTGATTTTTTGATTCTGACAAGAGAAGTTGATTTATATCTCATGCACTTCTTCAATGGAATTTTCAAATTTATTTATTGATACACCGAGATTGATCTCTATTTGGTCGACAATAACTTCTGATTGCCCAAATATCATGCTCAATATGAACATGTTTTTGCTAATACCTTGTCTCCAAATTTTTTCTACTTCAATTTGATGGTTTCATTGATTTGGATACGCTGAATCTTCAAGGAGATGGAAGATGCTATACATCCATCGTAAGTTTTTTTCTCCTTCAGATAATCTGAATGTAAATGATAAACGAGATAAAGCATAATCTTCTTCGAGAACAAGATAAAGAAATAGCAACTTGCAAGGTTACATTTTTTTGTAGAAGTCCTACATTTCTTCCTTTCTTATTGTGCATTGATTTTACATTTTGCTTACATATAATAATGGATAAATTTGAAGCTTAGATAGTTTGTGAAGCATTCAAATTATGAACAATTTGGTGAATTTATGTTTTGGTTTCGTGAAGCAAAGTTGCTCTAACAATGGAAAAATTTGGCTTAAAGAATCATTTGTGTTTGTTGTCAGGCTCTAATCGCGCTTGTTTTGTTGGGATCTTTGTTTGGTCGTTATGTTGGTTGTTTTATCAAATTATTAAGTAAGTTGATATGGAAGACTATGAACGTTGATTATTTGTAGTGTTGTAGAAGATTAATGTACGTTTTCAATCATTGTGATACTTGTTTAATTCTGATATTTTATGATATATTACTAAAGGATGTAGAAGAAGTATACGTAGGATGGTTTTTGTCTAATCAATTTTGTTCTGTTGGGATCTGTATTTGCAAAGATTACTATTGTGATAGGCTTCTAGTGCGTTAATTTAAGAATGTTAATTGAATTTTTTCTTGTACAATGTGGAAAATATAATTATCTTCACGATCTTTTGCACTTTTTAATAGATAGACTCGTTCTTTTAGAAGTGACTTTCTTCCCTTATCTATCTTTGGTTATTCATTTATCTAACTTGGGTATTGTTTTTTCATTAGATCTTTCATGAACCCGAAAAAGTCGACAATTAGGGATGCAACTAATTGATGGATGAGCTTCCTTGTTGAGGTTGGTGTGTGAGACTTGTTTAATTCTATAATTTGTGTTTGTAGGAATTTGAACATGTTTAATATAATATACTAGCAAGTCCGAGAATACTTTGTTCCTACTATATTTCAACTTTGTTATCTAAATTAATGTATTTGCGATTTCGATCGACAATTTAATTAAATGATATTTAAATATTACGCGACGTCTGCAAGCAAAATCAAATATATTTTCAATGATTTTTTTTATCGTCACAAAATAAAATAATTCGTGACGTTTTTAAATCATCACAAAAGTGTTTTGTGACGATTTTTAAACGTCATGAAATCTTTTTTTTTTGGTGACGTTTAAAAAACGTCACAAAAGGATGTAATGTGACCTTTTCTTGCTACTTAATGTCTTTCCATGATGTTGTATAACCGTCACAAAATGAAATGCCGTTATGGTTACTCATTTACAGTGACGTTTTTTAAACGTCACGAAAAGTCTTAATCATGACGGTCTTAAAACGTCACGAAATCATTTTTCATGACGTTTAAAAAACGTCGTAGAAGCCTACATTTTGTATGATAGTCTTTAACTGTCACGTGTGCTAATTTTCGTGATGTTTTTTAAACGTCACGTATACCTTTCGTGATGGGTGACAGTGTCAAAAACGTCACGAAAGGTTTTTGTGACGTTTAAAAAACGTCATGAAAACTAAATTTCTACTAGTGAATTGTCAATATAAAGGTATTCATGTGACAATTAAAAATTATCAATATAAAAATTTTCATGACAGTTAAAACTGCCAATATTGATCTTTAAAACTATCACTATTAAAATTTTCGTGACAATTATATATAGTCATTATTTTTTTTTTCTTGACGTTTGTATAAACAATCAATAAAAAATATTTCATTTTGATTATAAACTGTCGCTAAAAAACATTTCATGACAATTATAAAATGTTGTTAATTAACAAACATTTTGTGACAATTATAAACTGTCGTCATTAAGTTTTTGTTGACGGGAGAGCACAATTTTTGCTTCATTAAGTAATAGTTATAAACAATCATCAAATGAGTAATTTGTGACATTTTAAAATTGTGGTGGATTATCCATTCATGGCAACTTATAACTATCGTTGTAATTGTGGACCCCTAAATTTGTCCGGTATTCCATTTCATCATTCTTTTTTACTTAATTTATAGTAATTTTCTTTTTATATTTTGTGGGAAATATTTTCTTTTTTTTTTGTTTGTTTTATAAAAAAAAAGAAAAAAAAAGTATTTGGTTTAAATATCGATTTCCTTATTATTTTTAGAATCAAATCATTTTTAATAAAATAAAAAAATAACAAAATCATAAATATTTCTTTTATTAAATTTTCCATTTCAAAATCATAAATATTTCTTTTATTAAATGTGAATTTCCATTTTTTCTCAAAATAAAATCTTTTCAATAAAATAAAACAAAATCCTACTCATATGGAAAAGTTTTAAATTTGATTTAACATAATTTGGGTAAAAATCAAAATTTGTAATAAAATCATAAGATTTGATTGATTGTGTAATGAATGAAAATATTTTTTCCATTTGTAAATTAGAGTTTTGAAACAATATAAATAGGAGCTAAGTGGCTAGGTTTAGCGGGATGGAGAAATTATTACAAAGGGAGGTCTATTACTCTCATTTTTTGCACTCTCTCAAGGTTTGCTTCGTTTCGTTTTTCTTTTTCTTTATTCCTTGCTTTATTCACAAATTCTCTCTCACCACTTCCTACTCATTCTTCACAATCTATCACACGGTATGTCACTCGCTCTCTACTTTTTTTTCTTTTTTCTCTTATACTCACCTAACTTCTTTTATCTTATTCCATTCCATTTGGTTACTTTTGTTTTATTTTCTTCATTTTTTGTCTCCTTATTCATTTTCTCAAAAAGTTTGCTCTATAAACTATTTCCACCACAACTTTCTTCTTCATCATTTGACTTGCGACACATTTGAATAAGAATGCAAAAATCGGTGTTTTGTAAGACCATGTTGTTATCGAATAAAGTAGATTGATATACTTCCTGATATATTGTTTGTCTACCTATGTTCCAAACATAAGTTTAATTCTTTCGACATTATTTTCGGGATATGTTTCTTTCTTTATTTTGTTTCGCCTTGTTCTTATTTTATCTCTATTGCTAATTTCATATCATGGTTGCTTGAGCTATTTGTAACATGTGATTTTATTGATTATCTTTTTAACATGTTTATTTTGATTACATGTATGATATTTGAAAAATGTATATAATATTGTACAATAAATGTTATTTTTCTTAATTTTATTAAATATCTTCAACTAAAAATTTGGTAATGAAAAGTCCCAACGATGGAACCTTGAAATGTTCGGGAGGCTGATGTTCTTGGATTCTTGATGGTAAAGATCAATATCTCGGGAGGTCAAGGTTTGATTTTTAATACGTTTCCTAAAAAAAAATATGTAATTTTAATCAATATGGTTTAAAAAAAAACATTTATCTGAGAAAATATCTTTTTATAAATGCATTTCCTCCTAATAAGCCCAAGACTTTTAAAAACACTTATGATATTTTAAAAAAATAACAAATCAAATCTTTGTCATTAATATTTTTCCTAAAAAATTCCTATGATGGAAACGAGAAATTCGAAAGGTGGATTCTTTAATACTCTCGAGGTGATGAATTTATTTTGGGAGGCCGAATTAAATTCAAATAAACAAAATTTTCTTAATGACTTTAGGCCACTCATAATTATTGTTCATTATTTACCTTGTGAATAATGATCAATAAAACATGAGACATTTAAAAATAAAAATAAAATTCTTTTCTTTGAAGGCCATTTTCTTGAAAATAATATGAAAAATAAATTATCGTTTGTTGAACGAGTGCTGTGGGGTGCTAATACCTTCCCCATACACAAAAGACCCCCGAACCCATATCTTTTTGGTGCAGACCAACTTATCCATGCATTTTGGTGGCCAGTCACACCCTATAAATAAAGACTGGTGACGACTCCATTTTTCTCGTCTCGGGAAGAAAGTTGGCCGCTCTACGTCGCAAACCCGTAGCGACAGTAATTATATTAATGATAGTTTTTCAATAACTGTCACGTTCTCATTTTTCTTGATGCCTTAATCCATGACAGTTTTTACTATATTAAATGGGTAATACATGGGTTTAGGAATAGTAGATAACACATATTTTGATAAGAATAATGTCTCATCTTTGTAGAACATAGATCAATCAATCATTCTATAAGTTCTTCAAACATGAACACTATTTGATTTTCTTCTTCCACGTGTCAAAAGAAGATAAGTAAGTAACAATAATATAAGGAATAAGAGATAAGAATAAAAAAAAACCTTAACATGCACCATACAGGGATTATACTGGTTTGTCTCAATCTTGAAAATTACGTTTAGTCTTCTACAAAAGTAGATTTTACTATAGTTGGAATATTACAATTGAGAATCTCACTCAAGATAACACTATTCTAAGTACTACTAATGGCTACCTTAAGATTACACAATTGAAAATAATCTTACTAAACCCACGGGATACTGATGATAGAACAGAATCGTGTGATTACAAGAAGATCTCTTAAGTTTAGGGGCACATGATTCTGTTATATCATCAGTATCCCGTGGGTTTAGTAAGATTATTTTCAATAGTGTAATCTTAAGATAACTATTAGTAGGAATACTTAGAGAAGAAATTGATTTTTGTATGAGGAATGGTTGCTTACGAAAGATGAAAAAGAGAAGATTGATTCTTTGTGCTAGAAAAGCTCTGATACCATGAAATAACTCTTAATTTGTTTTCCTAATTTGTGTTGTATATTTTTCATAAAGGATGATTGTATTACCATGTTTAGGCAAGGGCTGATATATATATATAAATGAGCTTGCACTTATGGTTTCATATTATTGAAAATAAAACTATCATCTTGTCATTACTTATGGTATCAGAGCTGTTGACATTTTTCCTTTACTGTCCTTGTATTTCGGAAATGACGGATTGATATATTTGTTGTGCTGGATTATTGGAGGTTGAGGTGGCTGGACGCGTGTGATTACGATAAGATCTCTTAAATTTAGGGGCACACGATTATGTTCTATGATCATCTGACACTCTTTTTCATACACTGTTTACAACAACGACTCATGTCTCTTTTATTTGGATTTAATACAAATAAAATTTTAACAAAATGGTTATATTTATAGAAAGCCAATATCTTAATAATCCTTATAAGAAAGCAATATCTTACTTCTTTTAGAAATTCACAGTAGTGTTGAAAATCCTTTTCCTCGCAAGACACGGATGATAAATAAAACTTTATAGGAAGCCAGATATCTTTGTCCTTATAAGGAAACAATATCATAATCTTTATAATAAATCAATATCCTACTCCTTGTAGGAATTCGTAGTATAGTGTTGAAAATTCATTTTCTCATAGGATACGAATCTCCTGTTTTCGTTCTATTATCCCAACAGAGCCATCCGTGAAAGGTTTTTCCTTTTTCCACTCTATTTTAGCTCCAAGTTCCCTATGTTTCTCAAGTTGCATCTAGAACTACTCTGGATATACTATCCATACGCCATTTCAGAAAGGATCTATGTTTGTATGATCACATAGAGAGGGTTGTCAAGGTGAACAAACTCTTTCGTATTTTGCCTCTAAGTTATCTACCTAAAAACATCATATTACATAGATGTGTTGCTTATGAACTATGAACCTCCTCACTTTTAGTTATTATAGAACTCTCGTTGCAACCTCAATAAAAATGATTATTATAAACTTTTAATAAGGACAAAAATGTAAATGGAGATGACCAAATTAACAATCGTGTCTCTTGAAGAGATGCATCCAATACACAATCGTCTCTGAAAGAGAATGCACAATGAAGATGAGACATGTGAGGATCGAACAATGAAGATGAGGGTGAGGGCATAGAAAGTGAGGCATTGAAGCACAAGCCAGTTTACTACTTGACTTACACACTAAATAATATTTAATTAAAATCCAGGGGAGCACGTGCTCCCTCTAGTCCTTTCGTGGATCCGTCCTTATGTACCTGCCTTCCTTAATTACTACCTTTGTCAAAAAAGAAAGTTTCATAAAAATTAAAAAAAAAATCAATCAATCAAGATGAGATTGTTTTCCTATAAAGTGACAACTACTTTTACTATTAATTATTATAATGACTTAGAAGAATAATGGAGTAGAAGGGACAAATATTACCTACCCCTCCTCATAATTCAATGGAAGCATGAACACAATTTGGAGGGAGAAATCTCATAATTATCTTTCACGTTGAGGTTAGCTTCATAATGATTCAATTCTAAGCATTTTTTTCAGGAGTGCAGAAATCTCTCTCCAAGTGTTATTTAGGGGTAGTTTGTGGTAAAGTTTCATTTTTTATTTCTCGTTTCTAATTTTATTAAAAATTTTAAGTTTTTGACAATAACTATGTTTCTTATTTTTCACTTTTTGTAAACATTCTAAAAATTGTATAGAAATTTTAGAAATAATTAAAACAAGTTTCTTGTTTCTAGTTCCTAGTTCACGGTTCCGTAATTTTCTTCAAAACATAAATAAAATGTTAAAATATTAGTTTAGTCTCTCTATTTTCAGCTTTCGTTTATTTTGGTTCATGTACTTAAAAATATTCGCTTTCAACTTTGGTTCCTTTTAGTTCCTATACTTTGAAAATGTTCATTTTAGTGCATGTACTTTTAAAAAGTAACAATTCTGGTCCCTTAATTTTATTTTTAATCTCATTTTTTCTATCACAATTTCAACACTACACTAGAATCAATATATTTCTTATAGTGTAAACATTTCTTTATATTAAAAAGTTTCCATTATGTGTAAAATTCGTGTTAAAATTTTGTAAGGAGAGACATTATCTCTTTTTAAAAATACAAGGATCAAAATGAACATTTTCAAAGTATAGAGACTAAAATGAACAAAATTTAAAAGTATAGAGATCAAAATAAACATTTTCAAAGTACAAGAACTAAAATTAATCAAGGCTGAAATTAGGGAACAAAATGTATACATAAATTGGTATTAAAGGATTTTCAATGTGTATAAGATCTGTGTTAAGTTTTTGTATATAGGAATCAAAATTGGTCTGTTTTTAAAAGCATAGAGACCAAACCGAACATTTTGAAAGTACAAATATCAAAATAAACAAAATTTGAAAATACAATGATCAAAATGAGAACGTTTTGAAAATACAAGGACCCAATTAGTATTTAAACCTACTATTAATTTGCTTCGTTAAAAAATGTTTATTTTGGCTTACTTTTAAATTTGACTTCTTATACTTTTAAAATGTAATATTTTTCGTTCTTGTTAATAATAGGATGATGTCCATCAAATTATCTACCTCCACTTCAAATATAGGTAATTCTCTTCGTCTTTCTTTAATTTGTTGCCACGTAGGAATTAATTTAAATTAATTCCATAAATTGGACACACTTTGACCATTCTACTTTGTCTCCTAACTTAGGCACTCTAATCCTGTTTTTTTTACTTGTATAACTTATCTTACTACTCTTTTTTTTAGTACAACATGTGGAGATGAAAGATCGAACTCACAACTTYTTGGTTGGAGATATATATCAATTACCACTAAGCTATGCTCGCTTTAACAACTATCCTACCACTATAATTATGGTAGCCATACTATTTAAATTAATAATTTAGGTGATTTGGACACTTTTTTTCCTCGTTTAAAGGTTAGTTTTGGTGAATTTGTGGGATTTGGAATAAGACAGAGGTGAGTAAGGCCTCTCTCTTTTTTTTTTTTTTTTTGACTTTTTAAGTATTAATTAGTTAAGTGAGTCTGGGATGTGGAGTGAGTTAGGCACATTTTTTAGTTTTTAATGGTTAGTTTTGGGGACATGGGTGTGTTTGGGTTAATTTTTGGATTCAGAGTGTATTTTATTGAGTTTGCGGGATTTGGAGTGAATTTGGGTGAATTAGAGGCACTTAATTTGTTACTTTAAGGAACGAAAAATGCATTTTAGGTATACTCAAGCTACTTAATTAGGTCGTATACTCAAGCTACTTAATTACGGGTATAAAGCGTAGTAGGTTAGTTTGAGATGGGCTAGGCACATTTAGTTCACTTAATAGCATGTTTGAATGAGTACATTGTCAGACCCTTTAGAAGTTATAATTACATATAGGATTCATGTTACAAAATTTACACTTTTTTCTTAAAATAAATATATATGTATATATTTACTCTTTAGAAGTATATATATATATACATACATACATATGTATGTAGAATGAACATATTCATATGAATAATTATTGTTGATATTCTATAATAATACATGATAGGCAATTTATATCCTAATTTTTAAAGACGTATATACACTATGCTAATTATATCACTAATAATAGTTGATTTCAAAAGTAGACATAGAATATATGTTATAACCTATATACAACATTAACATAAAATGAGATTAATTAACAAAAAAAAACATGAATAAAATTGAAGGCATAATAATAAATATATATATTTATAGATAAACTATATTTTAAAAACAATAACATTCAATCATACCAATGTTTCAAATATTATAATGAAATTTATGCTAGTAACGTGAGAAATCGAATTTGTGGTGTTGCTGAATTTTTAATGCCGGAAACTTTAGTTGCTAGACGTCAAAAGAATCAATACTTACTAAAAGGGAAAATAGAAATGGATGAACCATGGAACTCAACTGGCCAACGAGAAATGAAAATATAGGCAACAAAAAAAAAGAGGCCAGAAACAAAAATGATGATGCCGACAACTCCATTGTCATCTTACCTCATTATGTCGGCAAATTCCCTCTCCTAATGCTCACTAGTGAATCTCAACGAGATTGAGAAAAATTTTGAATTTAAAAGGTAGTTAAATCCAACTAAAGATTGGAATGACGTATGGATAAATCTTTTTGTAATAAATTTTATTTTTTAGTAGAATATATATCTAAGTAAATTAATGATTATGGAAATAATTGATTTGAGGGTACCAAAAGGCTTAGAAAACAAATTTGGAATCTTAAATCTTTTACATTTAAATAAAAGTAATAATTATAATAAATATAAATGTTATAAATAAGAGTAAATTTGATATTAAAAAAAGTTTTAAATTCAAAAATCCAAACTATAAATTAAAAACCTCGAACCTTTGTGAAAATAAATTTCTAAAAGAGTCGGTTCAAGACATTATTTCTTGGTATGAGAGCAGAAACCCTAATTTGGAAGCATGTTTGGAAAATACACTTTATTATTTGTCTAGTCATTTAAAATATTTTTTATATTATGCGGAGGCTTATTATTGTGGAAAATTGTCCAGAATTAAATGAAGATGACAATGAAGCCTAGGCTTAGGGTCTAGGGTGTTATTATATATTTTTTTATTTTGAAAATATAAACTTGATTTATAATATGCAACCAATATAAATTCTATAATTATGCAATTGTATTTTAAATTTGAATAAAATTTAAATATCGTATCAATTTTAAAATAATAATAATTGGCACCAGTACAGCTAGAAAATTGTTGGTAGAAAATGTATGTCAATTATCGTGGAACTATGCCACTTTGGCACTGCTAGAAAATTGTTGACAATAAATATCAATATCGACCAAATGAAAACATCGATACTTTATTCGGTTATTGTCAATAACTTTCTACCTTCCTCGACAACTTATAGTGATGAATTTTTCAACAAGATTTTCACAAATGGCAACGGTTTGTTTCGTACGCAAAAATCAAATTTTTTTATTGTTGTATCCAACTGAGATATATATATATAGTAATGTTTTTTGTCAACACATTTAATAAAAAAGAAATATGTATATAATATAGGATTAACCTAATATAACACACATAAGATTGGATATTTCCACTATTACTTTATACTTTATAGACAATAATCTTTTTTGTTTCGTATCATTTTATAAAGACAGCTAATTTGGAAGTATTGGATCAGAAACTAACATGTTTTATTTAGTTTAAATCGGTTTTTATATGCTAAAAATATCTAATAGTCCCTGTGGTAGTTTTTTCTCAAATTGCTTCTCGATCTTTTAAAATTTCCAATTTTACCCTCAGTGTACCAATAATTTTCAATTAGGTCCTTCCCTAGAAAACATTGTTAATGTTTGTTAACAAAAAAAAAATTTGATAGATAATTAAATTACTATTTTATTAACATATTTGCACTCATGAATATGCCACTGAAATGCTACTTGATATATGAAAATTTAGTTTGTCCATCTGAACAGCTCGCAAACTCGAGCATAGCTCAACTAGCTAGTTTACTAAAAAAAGAAAAATCTACACAACTCATCAAAAGAGTCATTTTCTTCCAAGTGGCATGTTCAGATGACATGTTAATGTGTTTAAATATGTAAACAGAACGACGTTAACTTTTATTAACAAATTAAAAAAAATTATTAGGATTGAATTCAAAATTAATACATAAGAGTAAAATTGAGATTTTAAAAGATGTGACCAAATTGATTTAAAAAAACCTAAAAAAATTAGAGACTGGTGTATTTAATCTTTTTTTTTTATTATTATTAATCATTTAACAAAACCTCAAATCCAATATTGAGATGTGTAGGTTCAAACACTTATGAAGTAAATGATTAGGAGATGTATTACAGGCTTTGTTAAATGATTTATAGAGAATTAACAATAAAGACAAAACTATTTTTTTTTTACAGGAATAAATCAAAATTAAATATTTTAATGTTCAAAGACCAAAATAAAGTTAGAGAACTAAAATAGAATCTTTTAACTAATTTTTCAATAAACTTGAAGTTGTAGGTGACATCTTTTCTAGGAATATCACTATTTCAATAAAGAGATGGAATTTCGACCTTTGACTTATAAATAATGTTACTACGACGGTTTTTTTTTTTTTTTTTTAACGATTCCAATCCAAAATATTTTTTAGAAAACCAGAACCAAACAATATTATGTTGACATTTGCCACATGCTTTATTGATCCCAATCAAAAGTAGTTTTTGGAACACTAGAACAAAATAATGAACTTTTTATTAAAGAGCTTATAAAAGAAATGATTTTGACAGAGTACTTCTCACAAGATTTCATAATCCCAAACACACCCCTTAATAGAATTTTCTTTTCCATTTCACAAAAGCAGTAACTTTCCTAGAGAATCAATATAACTGTGGAATTATAAAAAGACAAGGCAGATATTGAATTTTCCCTTTCATGATATTGAATTTCTCCACCTTCTATGTGTCTTTCTGGCCTTCTCTCCTGTTGTTGGAACTTGGTCAGCTAATTCTTGGTTTTCCAATGGATTCATCTTGGCCAGTTTACTTAGTTTCTTCCATCCACTGCTCCATGATGATGTTTGTTTCTGCTTTAGGATCTTCTCAAACTGCCTCTGCAAATTCTCCATGTTGTTTTGGAGCTCGGTGTACTTCGTCTTCACGGTATCGAGTTCGAATTTCAGTGTGTTTATGTCTTTCTTAGCTGCTGTCCATCCTTCTTGGAATGATTGTGGTGTTCCTTCAAGGAGTGTTTTCCTGCTTGAGGCCATAGGCTGGTATTGGTGCTCGCTGGGTTCTTTGATTGCGGTGTTGGCTATGGCATTGTTTATCTTCATTTGCTCGGAGAAGAGGACTTGAACGACAACCCGTAAGGGAAGTCGTTCGTTTTGTGCAGCGTGCATACAGGCATCAACGGACAGCTTTTGGCAGTCCATCACACGGCATAACCGCTTCCTTTCGTGCTCGGATAGTGTTGGATGTGCCTGTTGGTTTGTTATAATAGGCAATGGACAAAAGGCAGAATGTCATTGTAACCGAGAAATTTTGAATCATTGTGGAACTTTATTGGGAACTCGAGATTGATAATCAAGTGAACTTTTCTGTAATTCTTACGTTTGGTTGTAATGAAACTTCCGCATACAAGCCCCTTTAACTTTTGCATCAAGTATATAAAGATTTCTTATGTATCCAAGTTTCTTTTGTTCCATATCAACTGTTATCCAGTTCAAATCATGTATATTTTCTCTACATTTCCTTTGTTTAGGGAGAATAAACAGTTAAAACACCAATGAAGCAGTTTAACCCAGACAGAAGTCAGTAAAAAGTCAACTTACTTTAAGATAGGAATCAACTGCTCGATATAGCCCGTCATCGCACGATCTTGCCGATTCAGGCAGAGCCTCAGCCAGAACCTGAAACTTTGTCAAGGAGAGATTTCTATCTCTGGCCACTTCTGTGAGATAGCTATCAACAAGCCTTGCCACTCGCATCTTCGCATTCTGGGCCAAACCAGCAGCCGTTTGAGATCCTTCTGAGACGCCTTTTCCCGAAAAGGACTGACTGCTAGGACTTGAATCCTCTGTTAGTTCTTGAATGAGGAAATGTTCCAAAATCCTCTGAACAAGATCAACATCATACATGGTCTCAGCTGAGTTATAAGAAGGAATGAGAAGATCTCTGAGGGTGGCCTGTTCAAACTGCATCCCCACCCTTTTCTCCAGTTCAGTAACCAAAGCAGGAGCCACCTTCAACGCGTTTGCCATTCTCAGAAGTTGCAGAAGGAAGCTACATGAGACACTATCCTTCTGTGGTGGAAGTATGCTGATCAGGCTCTCGATGATCATTCTCCGTTCTTTCGCCTCAGGCATCGAGATTTCGTCTTTTGGGTTGACCACAACCATATGAAGGCCACCATTCCAATTGTACGTGCTGCTACTGCCATTGCCATTGCTACAGTTTGTGGCATCAGTGCCTTCTCCATTCCCATCAGTTACTAGACCTGGAAGCCATTTAGATGCATAGTACATTATTGCAGCTCCAATCTGTTCAAATCTCATCCCTTTCACCTTTATAGCAGTGATGACTCTCACAAAGTGATCCATCCTCAGGATTGCTGCATCTTCAAACCACCAATCTGCAGGAACGGTATAGCTTCCACCAAGGCTCGGATCCTTCATTTCGGTCCATTTGGGGCTCGAAATGTCCTGAGGCTGAGGCTGAGGCTTCCCAGAATAAGACCATCTCACTCCTTTTGGGTTGGCACAGGCCTTCCAAGCTATGGAGTCACTACACCTTCTAACAATTTGAAGATTCTCGGCCCATGGCGAAAGATTCTCGCAGCTTTTCAACACTACAATTGAGTCACTCCAAGACGACAAGACGACGTAGCTCAAAAATGCTTCGGTTTTGAATATCAGGTTCCCTTCTTCAAAATCCTCCGTCATTTCAAGAAACTCTGCGGCACATCTGAGGCCGGAGATATTAGCTGCCGACAGATCAAGAGGAACGCCATAGCAGAACTTCGCTACCAGTAGAAAAGCCCCAGCCCCTCCAGGGAGGTCGTTCATTACAATCCTGCTCAAATCCGGATCCCTCGATTCATACACAAGTCTCGTCATCCTCCCACTCCGAGAAAAGAGAAGATACTTCCCAACACAAGGAGCAGAAAAAAAAAAGGTCAGAAAACTCAACTCCATAAAATACAGAGCTTCAGAGCAGAAAACAAAAATGGAGTACCTTGTGTAAATGGAAATCTACATCTTCAACTTGAACAAGAAGGTCACTATGAATATCAGTCCGAACATGCCTAAGCAAAACAAAGCATACAATTCAGAACCCCTGCATGATAACTCAATTCAAATTTGGAACAGACATTTCCACAAACACCTTATGAGCACTTCAACCAGAAATGCAAAGTGTGGGGAATTAATGAGAAAATGACCCAACAAAAAATGAGAAAACCAGCCTACAGAAGTACCATGAACGGCCTCTGAGCTCAAACCCATCAGTCTTGATGCAATGCTTGGTCGGACTGACGAGTCCATGCCCATATTCGCGTCCTCGAACGGACTCAGCCTCTGATTCCCACATGATCGGAAGGCAGAGGACCCTGGAAAAAAAGTTATCGTTGAAAATTTAGCAGAAAAGCGAGAGGAAACAAAGGGGGAAACGATTAGTCAGAGTAAGGAAGAGGCAGAGGACCTCAAAAACAGAGATATGAAGCCAAAAAAGAAGAATCCCCACATGGGTTGCTTGGATTTATCCGAGTTGAAATGTCGGCTTGAACAGTTGTCGAATTCGATTGATTTTGTTCACGGGATGTGAATTTGAGGGGGATTGGATACTGATTTTTGCGTTTTCTATTCTCTGATTCGGCCATGGATCTTCTCGGGTACAATTGCTGGATCTCCGGTGTTCTTTTTCTCACCATTTCAGATAAATTTTGGTACATTGTTTTGGGTATTCTTGGTCGTAGAAAATGAAGAATGAAACTATTTTTTTTCCATATAAGCTGCTGTTACAGGCTACGAACAAGAATCCAATTCGGAAGCTCTACGTAGAGATGGGTTCTAAACTTTGAAACTTGACGAAACAGAACAAGAGGAAAGCGATAAAAATCAACGTTTTTTAAAAAAAGAAAAAAAGAAAAAAAATTATTCATTTATAATTTAAAAAATAGTTTACATTTTCTTACTGTGTACTTTTCATTTAAATATTTTCATATTTAATTTTAGGATAATTTTGTCAATAAAGAGTTTTTTCTTACTCTTTCCCTTATTTTTTATTCATCAAAACTTTGAGTTTTTTTTTTCTCTTTCAGTATATTTATCTTCTTTAGTCAATGTCTTGTACTTTTTTATATTTTAGTTAGATTATTTGATTGAACATTCCAGTTTTTAGTATTTTTCGATGTAGTGTTAATAATTATTATTCTAAAGAATACTTGATTACCTACCATATATAAAAGTAATTTATTAAAAAAGAAGACTTAAAAAAGAGATGACATACTTACCTTTTTTTCATTTTCTTTTTCAATGATTCAAATAAGAAATCAAAATAAAATTTTATTTCCTTGGATGCATTATTATGTCTATGGAAAAAAAAGATGAAAAAACCATGAATATATGTTTTTTGAGAAAATTTTTTAAGTAATTTAAGTAAAAAAAAAAATTGATTTTCATATTTTTAAACATTAAAATAAAAATTATGAAATTTCATGTACACCGCATATTTCTTACCAACTACTGATTAAATTATACAAAATACTCTTTGGAACTTTTCCGTAAATTTCAATTATGCCAATGAGCTTTTAAAAGTAACATTTTTATCCTTAAATTTTAAAATTGCTTCAAAACAATCTTTCCTCTATTAAAATGAAAGTGAAAATGCACAGTAATTTGTAAAAATAGAGATACACACGAATACAAGTGACAAACCAAGTTTAAAAAGTTTCATTTTGACTTTTAATTGTTTAAATGTAACTAAACTATCGAAATGATGGAAATATAATTTGGTGACAAGGTTGGAAAAAAAACAAAGATAAATAGGAGAGTTAGTCACATTGAAAAATAATGTTATTTATTTTTTATTATTTTCTTTTTATGGGTGGGAGAGAAGCAAAATTTTAAATATTGATGTCGATGGATATATATCGAAGTCTAATTGCATAGAAATATCAATAAAATGTCAATGTTTCGTTGGGTAAATATACGATATGTATATGTAAACTAAATAACATTGTCAAACATATTACAATATAGGGTACGACACCATTATAAATTTTGACAACTTAATGGACACCAAAATTTAATGAAATATAGTCGATACATGTTTTAATAGCGTTGACTTGAAGACAATTATTCACTCTCCACAAATTGTTAGTAGACTACAACGATCGTCTAATTTTGCAAATCTTAGTATAAGTCAAACCTTAGAACGAATATTGATGGATAAACTTCTTACCTTTGAGGATGAAATTCGTCTTTATTTTTCAATCAATCTTTTTCTTTAACATTGTTCTCCTAGCTTATAGAGATCCACACTTTCCACTGACCTCACTCTTCCACAATTTTTCTCTTCACGAGCATATTGTTTCTCGTGAAAGTTTTATCTTTTTACCTCACTCTCCTTTGAATTTTTTTATGTTTAGTTTTTCCCATGGTATTCCGGAAGCTCCGTAGCATTGGTCCCGATAACCCCCAATTTATTACTTCTTCTCTACAAATAATCCCTACTCCTTCAACTCGTTCTAAAAAAATAGGATTTTGTGTAATAAGTTTTTGATATTTAGCAGCCCCTGTCAAAAAATAGTAGCAGAAATCCAAATATGCACAACCAATAGGGTTTTTGATCATTACTAATGCATGACCTTTCTAATAATGCATAGCTTCCCCATAATACAAAAGGGTTATTTTGAAACAATTTGGACGTTAAAAGAATAGAAATGAAAAAGTTTAGGAACATAATTGAAATTGACCTTAAAGTTTAGGGATATTTTGTATAGATTAACTTAAAATTTTACTTATGCCAACCAATCTGCATGACTCAATTGATTAACGTGTCTTTTAAAGTGTTTAGGGAAAACTGAAAGTTTTTTTTTTCTTTTATAAAAATTTAGTAGTGTTTGATTAAAATTTGGAAGATTACTTTCAACCCATTAAAATCAAAATTTAAACTTTTTTACAATCAAATGTAGTTTTCTAAACAAATGAAGCATGTAATTAGTTTTATCTTCCAAAAGTGATTACAAAATAAATGCTTTCACTCATATACAGTTTTTTCAAAAGACATCACAGCTTAAAACACACAAAAAGAAAGAAAGAGAGAGAAATACTACTATTTGTTTTAATATTGTTGATGGCGAGTTTTGGAGAGGTCCATGTGTCATTCATAATGGAACGAAACAGGTCTGAAGCAACTATCTTCCACTCTTATATAGTGCTCCATCTAATGGACTTGGACAATCAAGTTGTTAATTGGAGCAAAAATAGTTGAAAACACCTTAGGGAATTAGTAATATATATTTTTCACTAATTTGGTGCTGGTGGTTCTTCCTTTTTATAGGTGTCCATTGCCTATCAGGAAAAACGTTTCGTATGTGGAGCGTGCTCCTCATCGTACGAGATTCAGATGGACAGGTGAAGACATTCTCGATGCGCAGCAGTCACATTGTCATTTGTCAGTCTATCCTTTCTACAGACTGTCGTCTGCAAGTCACGATGCATCTCCCATACTGCATAGCATGCAATCCTTATCCTCTCTTGCTTCGTATGTTCCACGTCGTATGTGTTCCCCGTTCCAGTTGTCGCCCACCAGAATCTCACTCGTTGCTTGCTCAAATTTATTTCTCCCTAAACAAATATAACAACAACGCTTTTAAAAAGAATTGAGGGAAAGTATTTGTAATGAGAGCTTAATGAGAGATTGTATGAGTGTAAACATTATAAAAATAGAAAGAAGAAAAATTAAAAAGAACCTCATCTCTCTTTGCCACACTTCTCTCCATAAAGCTATTTTTTCTTTCTACCACACTCTCCTTTCTAAAAATACTTATCTTCCTCTCTAAGGGTAGAGTGAAGAAAGGTTGGAGGTAGCAATTGTCCATTTTTTAGGACAACATATAGGGATGGGGGATCRAACTCACAACATCCATCTTGATGGGAGATATATATCAATTACCACTAAATTATATGATCACTTTAGCACAATTGTCCTTTTTAGGTTGTAAAATATCGTGTTAGAATCCATATAAATGAATTAAATTTACAACTGATCAGGTTAAYCTTTTTGGTTGAGTGGAAGTTTATTCATTCTTAGAATGGTATAGTACAAGTGAGAGGAAGTGTTAGAATCCATATAAATAAATTAAATTTATCCAACCGATCAGTTTAATCTTTTGGGTTGAGTGGTGTTTGTTCATTCTTAARAATCATATATACAAAATATATTATGATGCAAAAAAAAAATTTTAGAAATCAACTGGGCTCAAGACGGGATATGGAGACCCCAGAAAACCAGCGCAACAAGTAGATGACAGAGACCAACCCGAGGTTCATCACAAAAGCGACAACCAAAAGGGATTGTGGATATTTGTTAATTCTATATTTTGGTAAAATAAATACATCTTAATTGAAGTCTAATCCATAATGTCTCACCCTTGTTTCATCGAGACAATGGAACGATGACAATAGCTATTACATGATCTTATTTTATCGTAGGGTCTATTCATGCAATTTTAAAAATATTTGAAATATTTTTATTTAGTTACGAAGTTGTCGATTCATAATTATTTTTAGAGACAATTTCAAATCAAACAACCAATGTCTTTAAAATATTTCAATTTCAATTTAGTAATGAAGTTGTCAATTCATAATTATTTTAGAGACAATTTCAAATCAAACAACCAAAATCTTGAATTTTTAATATAGATCTAAGTACAGAAAAAGAAATGATGAAATTTCAATATTTGCGTCTCAGACAATAAATGACTATAATTGGTATATTATTATTATCTATATATGGGAGCTTAGAGCGACATGGCCATGTGATTTCAATGCCTTTTTTTTTCCTCTTCTCCTTCTTTCTCGATAAATGAGTTCATACACGATGAATGTTGAACCATCGAACAAGTGTGACTGTATATAATCGTTGTCGAACTAATCATTAATACTTGTTCAGCAGCTACTTAACTGCAATCCCTGTCTCATGGCGTATCTCCCCCTAAAATCTTGAAGGTAATCGTTGAGGTGGACACACGATCCCGAAATGGTTATCTCTCATTCAAATACATACCAAGAAAGTAACAGAGGGAGTACCTGAATTTTGACTTGAGGACTTTACTCTCTAGAATCATATAYTGACAAAAACTTTGGAGYGTTGATTTCTTACTTTGCAGGWACATATTCAAGTGTTCTCGAAGAAATTAATGATTTTGGTCAATTTTTTGCTATAAAACAGGTTACATTCTTTTTTGTGTAATATATTGAATGATAGATAAAAAGACTTATATCATTCTCTGCATGTTACTCTGTACATTTTGTAATGCTATTATGATTCTAACATTTTTTTTATCTGCTCTAATATGTGCAATAATTTGAAGGAAAAATATATAACTTTCACCCCAGAAAAATTGGATTCAGTGACAGATATAAATAGTGAAAAGTACTGAAAAAATTTAATTGTCACAAAACGGAGGGGCCCTCATGCTATATTATTCAAGGCCRAGACCAAGTCGATTCGAATTGGGCTTGTACGGGGGTCGGAGTTCAGGTTCTTGGCCATTGGATCGAGAATCCCTCTGTGCCGAGGTCTGGTCAGCTACGATCGRCCCGGGACGCTGGGCCCCAACCCACATACCTCTCTTTGGGTTMGCTCCTTCAACTCTATTTCCTCTTTTCGGTTGCTGAATTGAGCACACGATTCTAATAGCTATTTCCCCTTCCAAATAAAGACCCAAAAAATTATTCTCTGAGCTTAGGATCAGTGATCTTAATGTCTTAGGTGAGATTTTGGTTGAAACACCAATCAAGTTCTAAGTTTTTTTAGATGGAATATTAAACTTTCAWATAAGTGTCTTCTTCACTGTGATGAAGAATTGTTTTGTTTTCCAATCAATCGTATCAATCCTGATTCATTTACCTAATCAATGAATTGCAATAAATATCTATACAAACAAGGTCTAATTTAGATTTGAATCTTAATATAAATTCTTTTTTAATATAACGAGTGAGGGTAGAGATTCGAACTATAAATGCCTAAATTAGTTAAACTATACTAAACCAAGATTGACGGATCTTAATATAAACTCAGGACTAAAATAACTTTTTTAAGCAAAATCCAGACACTAAGACAAAATTTCACAAGGGATTAAAACAAAACCAAAGTATAAAAGTCCAAAGAACCAAGATTTAAATCTATTTTCTACTGCTCTGCTTTTATGGGGTTACAGTTCTTCTGAATCAAAAGGGTGACAAAACTGTTGGCTTTCTCATTCAAGCCAGCTTCAACAAATGCATTTACAAGCCTATTACAGGCACAAATATCAAAATCTGTAGAACTTGCCTGTTTCCACTGATCAATAACTTCTCCAATTTCCTTCAAATCATCAAGCATCAGGTAACAAGAAATGRCGCAAATGTAGTTTCTGCTTGTCATTTTTTGCTTTGTCATCCTTAATGATCTCCAGATCTGATCAATCTTGTCCTTGTTTCCCAGACCAGCATTCAAAATAATGAGAAGGTCGTAMGTTATCCATTCTCGCTGACTAATGCCACTCTCTGACTCGACTACASAGTTCGACCCTGTCTGTAATAGGTGAGTGGATGTAATGTATATGTTGACGAGATCAATATATCTCGCCCAATCTTCATTTGAATTGGGATTGCGACTCATCTCGTCRAGAGTCTGTCGAACACCATCGATGTTTAAAGCTGCAGCCTGTGAGCTGATCCAAAGATTGTAAGTGAAAATGTCAGGATTCACCATCTTTTGCWTCAGGTCATCTACAATGGAGGATACCTTTTCTACTTGCCCAACGGACATGTATAAAGTCATCATCTCGTTGAATGGAAGGGCTGTGAGAGGTGTATCTGACTCCTTTATTTTTTCGTAAAGTGTTTCAGACTTTTCGGTCAATTTGGACCCGGCAAACGAGTGAAGAAGAGCGGTATACGTCTCACAAGTTCTGGCATCACTAGGTAGACCTTCGAAGTAGCGTTCAGCAGCATCGATACCAAATACTTTTGTCATCAAGTCTATGCGTATTGCAAAGTCAGAATCAGATAACTCAGACTCATTATTTGTCACCATCCATTCTAAAATCTGCAAGCAATAGAATCGTATTGGCAGTTAACAATTACGTGGTAAAATGTGGTGTAAATAGATGATCACCATTCATTGTAAGAAAAGAAGATGACATAAAAGCCCCTGATAAGCGTTCAACAGATCAACACAGAAACTATGATGATCCTTTTACCATTTCCTTTTCATTTACAATACAACATGGCCAACTTTCTCCTGAATGCAAGCATATAATTGTATAAAACTATAAATAATATATATGCAGCCAAATATCATTTGAATATTTAAATGTTAAGACTTCAACCGATTAGTGAGACTCCCAAAATATGCAGATTACATTCTCTATGGAATCACTCCAGACATGGAAATTACTCATTTTCTATTCAACAAAACTTTCAATGGATGGTCAATTTCAACATAGCCCGGGTTAAAGCATATGTCTCCGACAAAAAGGTCGTGAGTTCAAATCACCACTCCATATGTTATACTATAAAAAATAAAAATAATAAAGAAAAACTTTTGAATGGATCACCACTTTTGAATGGATCGCCCTTGGAATACTTTCTCTGCATTCGTGCCATTACAAAAAAATTGTTGAGTATATCAGTTATTGTTTTTTTTTAACCAGAAACAAAGAGTATATCAGTTAATGTTAAATTTGACTCTCTTCGTTTTTTTATCATATCCGTAAGTTGTTCTGCCTAGCTTATAAGCACCTCCAACTCTTGCGGTGGGGGGGGGGGAGGATGGGCTACAGCTGCAAAATCCAAGGCGAACAACGCTATAGTGTCTACTCTCTCCCTAGTTTCAAAAACTAAAGTAGCCAATAATTTCTCTTGTAATACTGAAATCAACTCCTAGTTTAGCCCCATGTAATTACAAACGCCAGATCAGTTAATCTATTGCAACAACAACAACAAAAATAAAATAAAAATAAAAAATAAAATAAAATAAAATAATAATAATAATAAATAAATAAATAAGTCTTCGCCATCCCTCCCCTAGTGTACTGGAATCCTTTCTACAGTTATGGGATTTTCTGGGAGAGGGTTAAATAGAACTCTAAGCATGTCAAATAGGAAATTTTCATAAATATTTTGTCTTCATCTGGTCATCCAGCTTCTACTGTGTACATAAAATTCCCAAAATTTTAAATCTCATTTAAAACAGTCTCTTCTTGGCTGTAGTTAATGTTTATAAAGGCTATTTGTGTTAGTGGTCGCACACATTGATGGTTGTGTTTCATTCAATAAGCTTGAGATTTGTTTTACTCATCAAGTTGCCTCTAGTAATAAGATGTCGTATTACCTTGATTGTCGTCAGTTGATATGGACATTCTGCTATGAAAGCATCTAAGTCACTAATGATGATAACTTTAGCCCTCCAACACAGGTGGCCACTGACTTTTCACCTTTACCAGCTAGTGATTCACATACTTCCTCACCATTCAATGGCTCCTTGTCTTTTACATTTCTTTCTTTGTTATCTATCCAAATGCCTATTTCTGTTCATAAACCTTAACAGAATCCAGACTCCAAGGCAGAAAAGTTTAAACCTAATTCTCCAGTCGATGGCTATGCCTCTTCGCCATTACTTTGTGAATGTGAACCCACCAATGCCTTACCTGCTCTTTGCTGATCCTAGTTGGAAGTCTWCCATGGAAGAGGGTATAGTGTTCTCTTATGTAATAATTCATGGTTTCTTTTACCTATTCTACATTTTACGGTACAACTTTGTTGATAATAACTGGCTTTCCTAAAARAGGAGTGGACCGAGCAGTTAATGTTGATGGTAGTGTCAGCAGACTTGAGGTCTTCTTGTCGTACATGGGTTTCAACAAATTCTTGTAGTCAAGTATTTTGACAACTTTAGCCCATCTATCGAGCCCTCGGCAAACAGTGTTTTATTTGCTCTTGATACTACTTTTAACTGGGAGATACAACAGCTATACTCAATAATTAACTTTAGAATGGTAATCGGAATGAACTAGTGCACACAAATGGGTGTTCGTTTTCTAGTTTCTAACAAAGAGTCTTTCTTGTAAAARTTGCATAGATCTTTACATGGCTTGCATCAAACTTCACATCTTCGATTCAACAGGCTCAAATGTTTTGGTTTGTAGACATTCCTTCTTGTTCTAAAACCGAAATAAGATTAGWGATTATACTTACTGCACTCTAGAGGACTTAAATAACTAGACTAACAATATAACTAAGAATTATAAATACAAACCTTCCTCAACAGCGTTTCTACAGATCACGAGCACATGAGTTAAATTTCAAATTTTCTTTGTATTAGAATCTAGAAGGCAGCATAAATTTCACTCCAGCATTTCTCATTTGGCTGAAAATTTTCAAAGTATTAGTCCACTTTCACTTATATAATTTCTTGGCCTATTTATTTTGTTGCTGCCTCCTATCATCTGCAAGTATGGAACTATAAGCCAGCAAGCAAGAAGGAAATAAATAAAATCGTACCTCTTGAGCGTGCTTGTAACGCTGAAGCCTTCTGAGCTCTTTCGAGATATTCCGGAGCTCAGTGATCGTAACTTGATTGCCCTCGCTCGTCCATCTCAGGAGAACGTTGGTAGCGCTTCGCTTGGGCAATCTGAGGCGGAATATTCTACTCTTCAAGTCATCGGTTTCTTCAGAATTAACTGATTCCTCAAAAGATTGACTCCTCAGAGCTCCATAAGAGCAGTAATTCGACACGCTGGGTTCGTTGAGGACCGGGATCGATTTGAAATTTCGATTGATGAAGCCTCTATTCCTGAATTTTCTAGGGTTCAGATGGATTAACAAAAACTCTCAAAATTACGGAGAAAACGCTAGAGATTGGAAGGAATGCAGCCGTATTTCCTCATTTTCACGTTTAAAGTGAAACAAAGAATTAAGATTCCATTAAATTTGAATTAAACGCATTTCTCCATCTTCTCGGGAGAAGCAGAAGAAGAATAAAGTTGCGTAAAAGAAAACACAGGGGCTTACCGGCTGAAGGTGAGGAAGAGAGATCGAGAAGCCATGGATCGTCACTTGGTGGCCGGGTTCCCGATTTTGCTTGGGTTTCTTGATGAATCGGCGACAATCTGTCTATGGGACCACTTCAAAAAGTAYGTGTCAACTAGGTCCTAGAAGCCAGTTTTATGCCACGAGACCTACTCAGCATAATTATGGGTGCTCAGTGTCACAATTGCACACTCACAGGGTTAGCATAGCGATCGTGCCATAAGTAAATCGACCAATTCAAAATAAGATTTTGACGATGGTACGATGGAACTATCTTGTAACCTTAAATAAGTCGGTCAATTCAAAATAAGATTGACGATGGCACGATGGGACTATCTTTTAACCTCAAGTAAGTCAGCCAATTCAAAATACGATTGACGATGGCACGATGAGACTATCTTGTAACCTCCACCCACGTATTAAGAAAACGTAAATTAGGTAAACTTTTATTTTAGCCACCAAGCTTTCTTGAACCTTTGCAATTTCATATTTGTTTGAGTTGCATGCAAAGAATATTGAGGTGGGATTGATCATCCTATTTTATGGAGTCTTCGACTCTTGAGACAATAACTTGTTCTTTGTCTCATGARGTTTAATCTCAAGGCAATCTGTATTTAACCTAAACTTTATGATTGAAATCGAGTCGATTTTGAGATTTTAGTGTCYGTGAATTAGAGGTTCATATACCCATTCATATTCACTAGGGTTTTAACATCAATTATAGAAAACGTGGTCGGAGAAAATTTTTTGGAAACTGTTGGAAAACGTTTTAAAAAGCATGTTGCAGATTCTAAAACAATATAAAATAAACGACAGTTTRATAAGCATACACGTCAAAGTAGGAAGGATGGTAAATAATGCTTTGAAACAAGAGATGTTCCTGATTCTATCAGTACTTGTACACATAGGTAACTAACTGTGTTGGTGGATGATATTAATTTAATTTGAATTCTCCACATACCTCTTATTTGAACTAAAAAAGGAAAGAAAAACTGATGGATCAACATTTTAAAGCTTCTAGACTTGGGCTATTAACTTGAATAGCCACTTTTTTTTTACCATTATTCTTTCAAAAAATAGCCAATATTTTGAAAATGTTCATCAATTCATTAAAGAAGAAAGAAAAAAAAAATGTAYATACTCATTTTTATGATTTCTTAACATAAGGATACACCCAAAAAAATCCATATAACACCATTTTCGTATTAAATGAAAAAGTTAATGGAAAAATAACCTACAATTATCATATTTTGAAAAATAAATATTTGAAAAAACATGGTTTTTTTTAAATGGTTTAAAAAATATTGTGTGCCCGTCTCAAACGCCTCACCGTTATAGTATATATAGGATAGTATATATTTACAATGTATTTTATCCAACATTGATAATGAAGTTGTTAATTTATATTTTAAAATTTAGATATATTAAAATGGATAAAAAATGTTAAT